CAGTTAACTCAATCGCGAACGAGGGATGTGTGTAGCATTGTATTTGTTAACAAGCCACAGTATGTCACGCTATGTAGTTATACAACGGAGTGTCTCCAAGGTCATTCACTTAAACAACACGTACAGTCATTTAATGAAAAATGTACATACAGTGAGAAATTGACAAAATAAATACGAATAACATTAAAAACTATTTACAAAACAGGCTTTTCAGGCCTGTCTCCACATAGTTCCCCTCCCCAGAGTGTCTGGAAGTAACACTGGTTATAATAACAACAACAAAAATGTAAGAATATTGCGTATACATGTATGCGAAGATAATATTTACAATAATAACCAACGAAAAATGTGGAGATGCGTATGACATGTACGTTAGTAATATACAGTGTGTTATTGTGTAAAAATAGCAGTGATGTAGCATAGTATAACAAATACAAAAGTAGTGAGAATACTGTCATTTAAAGTCTTGGTTTGCTAACAATGATAATAATGTGCAGAACTGTTACTAAACCTACAAGAAAAAAAAATTGAACTGCTTATTTTTTGTGTGTACAATGAATAGGTAATTAAATACAGTTTACTCGTTTATTATTGTAACAAATTTTTTTTAAAAAAAGGTGAAAAAACGAATAATTGTGGAAAAATATGATTAATTATGTACACTGTGAAAAGGAAAAAAATCATAGATTTTGTTGGAAAAATCGGGTGAATATAAAAGTATAGTACATCGATAATTGTTTGTTTCGATTTTTTTATTCAGCAAAATGTACATAGCGTTTGGGTTTTTTTATAGTTCTGCCTGAGCGCGTTAAGCAAGTAGGTTTGATACTCGGTTTTTCTTCCATGTCTGCTCTAATGGTGGTTGCTGGAAGGGGTTGGTTCAGTGAAGTATTCTGTTCTTTTTCGTGCTGTGCTTCGTAGAAAACAGGCCTTATTCTATCGATAGCGATAGTCTTTTGCTTTCCACACTTGTTGATTATGAAGTGTTTGTTCGTTCTTTTAATTACTTTATATGGTCCTTCATAAGGTTGTTTCAGTGGCTTTTTAACAGCATCAACTCGAACAAAGACAAACTTGCAGGTTTCTAGGTTTCTGTTGAGTTGTATTCGATTGTTATGTTCACGAGGCGGTATGGCTTTGATTCGTTGCATTGTCTGCAGCAGTTGGCTAGCAAAACGACTTGGGTCCGTTGGTGTTAAAGTGTTTGGGTCCACTAGTTGACCTGGCAATGTAAGGGTTGTACCGCAAACTAGCTCAGCGGCTGTACAACCTATATCTTTCTTTCTAGTTGAACGGATGCCCAGTAGTACAAGTGGTAATGCGTCACTCCATTTTGTCGTATCATATTGTGCCATCAGCGAGCTTTTTAATTGGCGGTGAAATCTTTCGACCAAGCCATTAGCTGCTGGGTGGTAGGCTGTCGTTTTAATGCGGTTTACACCCAGAAGTCTTGTGAATTCCTGAAATAAGATAGACTGAAACTGGGGACCATGGTCGGTAGTGACGATGGAAGGTACTCCGTAAGTTGCTATCTAACGGTCAAGGAATACCCCGGCTACTGTTTCTGCGGAAGTATCAGCAATAGGGCATGCTATCGCCCATCTGGTGAATCTGTTCACTGCAGTGAGGATATGTGTGAATGGATTAGATGGTGGCAGTGGACCAACTATGTCTAGATGTATATGTTGAAAACGTTTATCTGGCGGGGGATACTTGCCAAAGGGACTGATCGTGTGCTTCTGAATTTTGCTGCGTTGACATTGTAGACAGTTTCGCGTCCATCGTTTTATATCTAAATTGATTTTTGGCCACACAAAACGCTCAGTAATCAATTTGGTTGTGGCTCTGATTCCTGGGTGAGAAAGGTCATGCAGTTGACGAAATACTTCTCGACGACAGGCTCGAGGTACGAAAGGGTGATTGTTACCCGTTGAAACTTCGCAAATGATAGATGTGTTAGAGAAAGGTACAGGTACATGTTTGAATATTAAGTTAGACTTCTCCTGGCAGCTTTTTATTTCTGCGTCGTCTACTTGCAATTTCGCGATTGTTTCCAAATCAATATCTTCTTTACGTACCAGAGTATTTACATCCTTTCGTGATAAAGCGTCTGCTACGACATTGGTATGTCCTTTGACATATTGGATATCTGTTGTAAATTGGGAAATGTAATCCAATTGTCGTGCTTCGCGAGATGAATGCCGGTCGTAGGAAGTGTTCGACTTTGTAATAAGAAGTTGAAATGTTTGACAGCTAAGTAGAAGGCTAGTAACTCCCGGCCGAAAGTACTATAGCGTTCCTGAGTTGGCGACAGTCATTTGGAGAAAAACGCTATGGAAGTAGTTATGTTGTTTATCTGTTGTTGTAACGCTGCCCCGACGGCTTTCTGAGATGCATCCGTACACAAATTAAGTTGGGTGTGGGGTCAGTATTTAGATGTTGTAGCATGGTGGCCTCAGCTATAATCGACTTTGCTTTTTCAAATGCTGTTTTGGCGTCAGGAGATAGGTTGAATGTTTGATTCTTCTCTTTCTTCGTACCTTTTTTGTCGGTTTTCAGCAAATCAGTTAATGGCTGTAACACTTCAGCACAACGTGGTAAGAATCGGCGATAGAAATTACACATACCGAGGAAACGTCGTAATGACTTCACAGAGGCTGGTTCGGGGTAGTTAGTGATAGCTTCAACTTTCGTCAGAAGTGGTTTGATACCTTGTGAGTCGATGTAATGTCCCAAAAACTCTAAGGCTGGGACTGCGAATATGCATTTCGATGGATTGATGACAACGTCATGTTTTTTAAAACAATCAAAAAGGATGTGGACATGTTGGATGTGCTCTTCTAAAGATGAGCTTGCAATCAGAACATCGTCTATGTAGGCAGACACGAAATCTAGGCCTCTTGTAACGTCATCCATGAAGCGCTGGAATGTCTGAACAGTGTTTTTCAGTCCGAATGGCATTCTTAGAAACTCAAACAAACCAAAAGGTGTTATTATGACTGTCTTTTCGATGTCTTCTGGTGCCATCGGAATTTGGTGATATGCTCGCACTAGGTCGAGCCTCGAAAAATTCATTTACCGTGTAGGTTTAATGAAAAGTCGTGTATATGTGGAATCGGGTACTTATCAGGAATGGTTTGGTTGTTCAGTCGGCGATAGTCACCACACGGACGCCAGTCTTGGTGTTCTTTAGGTACCACGTGTAATGGCGAGGCCCAAGGGCTATTGGATGGCCTGATAATACCAAGTTGCATCATATGTTCGAATTCTCTTTTAGCTACTTGCAACTTGCTTGGCGGTAGTCTCCTCGCCCTGGCGCTAATAGGTGGACCGGTGGTAGTGATGTGGTGTTGCACCTTATGTGGGTTACATTCCTTTCGATAATCTGATTTCGTAATGCACTCGTATTCTGACAATATGTCGTTGAAAACGTTGTTTGCAGGTTTCCTTATTCGCACACCATGGATTTAATAGTCGTTGGAAGGTGTACCATCTACCTGTAGACGTGTATTTGCATCGATCAATCTCTTCTTGGTCATATCTACTAACAAATTGTGCGCACTGAGGAAATCGGCTCCGAGGACGGGTCGTTTGACTTGGGCACCTATGAAAACCCATGTAAATCTTCTGCGGAGTACGAGGTCTACTATGAGTGATTGTTCTCCGTACGTTTTGATGATTGATTCGTTAGCCGCTACGAGAGACAGCTCAGTGCTTGTTGTTTGGTGTCTTCAGGAGAGACGAAGTGGGATAATGCTGATTTATGCTCCTGTATAGACTAAAAAGTCCGAGCCAGAAATGCGATCCCTGATGTGAAAGAGGCGGCTAACTTGTTGGCCAGTAACAGACGACGCCATTACTGTCTGGCCGGCTCGTTTCCCTGATGGACTGTCTTGTTTGTCGTAAAGTTGCACGGTTTTATGCAACGACGTGCTTTTTCTCCATAATTCGAGTGATACCAAAAAATGCCAGCTGCCCGTTTGGGTGACCTAAAACGTTGTCTGGACACTGACCTTCTTTTGGACGTAGATCTAGCAGATCGAGAATGAATCGTTGCACTAGTCACCTGAAGTGATGCTAACTGCCGTGTTAAGTGTGTAATTTGTTGCTGAATGTTCAGTGCGTTACTCATATCTTCTCTACTGGAGGATTGTACTGCGTTAATTCCGCGACTATCGGGATATATGTCCATCATTTTATCAGCCATATCAGCTAAATCTTCAAGGGTGACAGAGGTTCCTGAAATACTGAGAATTTGTCTAATATTATGTGGTAACCTTTGTAGCCACATTTGCTTAAGTAGTGCTTCGTCTAGTTTGTATGGGCCGGCTAGCTGTCTCATATGTCGGAGCACCTGTGAGGGTCTCTTATCCCCTAGTTCGCATGAGGTAAGCAGTTGTTGTAAACGTTTTTCGTGTGAGAGCGATGTGCGTTGGATTACTGCAGCTTTTATCTTGTCATAAGGATCAATTTCTGGTACGTTGTCGATCAGGTCACCGACTTCCGTTGCTACTTCTGTAGGTAGTGCACCGACGGCGTAGGCGTATTTGGTCGCTTGTGAACGTATACCCCTCGCCAAAAATAGTGCCTCAACTTGTGCAAACCAAATTCTAGGGTTTTTGACACCGTATGTTGGTAATCTTAATTCAGAAATAGCATTGATTGAGTTTAAAACATTATCTTCTGGCTGTGATGAATGAAGGGGGTTGGTTGGTGGGATATCTATATCAATAAGTTTACTAGGAGGGTGCATGGTGTAAAAAACAAAATGAACTAGTTCGCAAAGTGAAAAAAAATATAAATAGTATACGTCTATAGTAAATTAAAGGCTCACCAAGTATTTGTGGTGGACCAGACAATCTATATGGTATATTCCCACTCACAGTCTATAAATGTAAGTAATATTTGATTTAGATTTCAGTTAACTCAATCGCGAACGAGGGATGTGTGTAGCATTGTATTTGTTAACAAGCCACAGTATGTCACGCTATGTAGTTATACAACGGAAAGTGTCTTCAAGGTCATTCACTTAAACAACACGTACAGTCATTTAATGAAAAATGTACATACAGTGAGAAATTGACAAAATAAATACGAATAACATTAAAAACTATTTACAAAACAGGCTTTTCAGGCCTATCTCCACAGACCTTTTATTCTTATTATTGAGATTGTTAATGTACTTTGAATAAACTTTCGTTTGTTTGGAACTATCAGTTAGAAGGTCTCCAAAGTAGATATTCGATCGACGGAACTGTCCGTTTGGGAATGTTTGTCGTTTATATCTTGTTTTTATGTGGGACTGGAGTAGTTCATTCCAATTTATGTCCAAGACAGTGTTTGCCGGGATCCTGTTGCGAAGTTGAAGAAAATGACTTCAGATGCTGTCCTTATGCTAATGTATGTTTCAAATGATGTATAATATTCTCATATAACTTCTCAGGGTGTATGTTGTAGTGATGGGAGAAACTGCTGTCCTCAAGGGACAAAGTGTGATTTGGAACTCGGTCATTGTCGTTCTCCTAATGGGACTGTGTTACCCTCCAAACATATATCAGAGGTGAATGTTCTTGTTTTGTATTTTGTTTCAGTATGACATGTAAGTGTCGCTGTGTAAGGTAATCTCTTTACTTTTCTGAATCGTTATTGGCATTTAGATAGAGTTCGTTTCTCCCCAAGTATTTTATTCTGAAGTTCGCTATTTAGAAAGTTGAAGCGATCTTTACACAAGTCTTCTTATGAAGACAAGGCATCTAAATTTCTGTACTCTTAAAGTTTGACTGCCTTTTTCACAGGGTATTAGCTTGATAATATTTTAATAGGCCGAGATCTAACGATCGTGAGGTTTGTGCTGAGATTTTCTCATTTAATGATTTTGTTGGGACGCAAAGCAACATGGTTACTCTTACTTTCACTAAGTTTGATACGTAAAATGAAATAATCAATCTCCCTAAACATTGAATACAACAGAAACAAATATTTAACTTTTCTTATGATAATTAGGGTCTACATCGACTAATCTCCATCTTGATGTTGTTCGGCAACTTTGGTCAACATATTTGGGTTATATTTTGATTATAACTGACTGAGCGACTTTTTAGTGGCATAGTGTTATCATCAGACTTTCAGGTTCCACTTCTTAAATATGAGCAGGATGCCTTTATTCCGCATCGTGTGCAGTAGAGTTGTTTCACATTTTGTGCACAGTATTACATAATGTATGTAGATATGCGCAAAGTAAAAGTCCTGTGGACCTGAGAACCAAGTTTCTTTGTAACATGTATCCTAGTGACATAAGAACAAAGACTCAAAACATTAAGCCAACATCGCTCTGTATGCTTGGATTAGACTAATAGTAATGTAAACCAATTAAAGTTCACTTAAGGATGCCTAGATATTATTCCAAGCTAATAGACTATGTGATATGTCCCAGTAATTTTTTATTTGCTAAACGACCTAGTCTCTTTTGAATTTATTTCGGCTTAAAATCAGTAAAATACCGCATCGCACAATTGTAATTCGTAGGAATACTCTGTAAACGGATCTTTACTGTATTATTGGGCAAAATCTCAAATTATGTAGTAGTGCTATGCGAGTATTCAGTGACCGTAACCAGTTCTGGTTTTTATCATCCATTCCGGAAAATTCTTGTGTAAATGTTCAGATCACTGAGTAAATATCAATGCAACTAAAAAAATATATCGTTGGTATTTGTTAATTTTTATTACTTATGGTGTCGATGAGTCCAAGTCCTGAAGTCCTATATTGCCCCCAAATGCCCTGGTACGGTCGAGAGTGGGGAGAGTCCGCTCTCCCTCGCGAAATGCTCTCACATGGCCACGCATATATAGCCTCTGCCAGGGGAGTCCTACTCACTGCCTTCTCGTGGCGGGGGTGTTGTTTACGAAATTGAGAGGACGAAAAGCGAATGTCTGGCACTTTAACCGGGTTGGTGGACATGGAGAGTTGGAAAACCCTCATTCCAAACCAATGGTGCACATTGACTTCAGTATGCTGAAGGAACAAATGGCGTATGAACCAATCGTTGGTCATCGGCTACCATGGGACTGAATCTCCTTACAATGCTTCACTGCCTTGTGGATCAGACCTTTAGGTCGAAGGCTCCGGGTGTGGCCTCCTATGGAAACCACTTGCTTCGGTTTGGGCACCCGGGCAGTATCACATCCCTCACATATATCAATTGAGATATGTGTGGCGCATATGTATTTGGTGCCTCCTTGTACCAATATGTGTTAAAATAAAATAAAAACGTTGTGATACGTTAGCACTAATAAACCTGATTAAAATACGAGATGAGTCTGCACTTATTCTTAAGATTTGTCCCAAAGAAGTAAGCGTAAATTCTCAGGTGAGTTTAAAGTTACTTCCTACGCAGCTATCAACTACCGAATTTCTTCGAGTTCACTAGAAGGACGAACGATTAAAAATGAAAGAAAGAATTATTTTGTAGAAAGCGAGGCATAAATTAGTTTTAATCTCAAGGTTTAAGGGGAGATAAAGACTGTACACGCGCCATTGTGATAGATTATGAGACAAGTCATCCAGTCTCTAACCACCGGTTACAATAGTCGCGCGGACCCCAACCAACTAATCTGCATCTACTAAAACGGTTCAGATCAGAAGTTAGTGAAATGATGCCAATTTTTGGTTTGGCCACCCCTAACTTCCAACTATCTCTAACACTAGTCAGCATTGGGCGCCATAGTATTCGTTTGTCGGGCATGTGTAACACGTGGTCCAACTATCTCAGTCGATGAAGCTTCCTAACCTTATCAACTGGTTTATCATCACTCCCTAATACTCTTCATCCAACCTCACTAAAACAGGACTATCATCTGCCCATTCTAAGTCGATAAGTGGACCTCGTGGAAGGAAACCAATTCCTGGAAATTCAGACGACGAGAGCGTTATTTCCAGCAGTAGGTCTATGATGAAATTTAAAAAAATTGAGATAGTGGACAGTCTCACAGGACATCACTTGAGGTTACGAAATCAGATGACAGTTCGCCGTAAGCTCTGAATCAACTGGTAGTGTTCGAGTGGAGCCTCCACAAGGTTTATGTACTTTTGAGGTACACCTTTCAATGACAGTAGTATATCTAGTAATCATTGTCATTATATGGCGCATATATATCTAGTGTCCCCTTGTACCAATATTTGTGTTCAAACAAATAAATGAATAATGACATACACTGCCACAGAACCTCTCGATCTACAGAGTCAAATGCTGCTTTTAAGTCAAGAAAGACCACCATTTTCGGACGCCGATAAGTATGCCTGTGTTCTAGAACCTGACGAATGGTGAATATGTGGTCGATGTAGCCACAACCAGGTCTGAAGCCAGCTTGATTTTCTCATATTTGCAGTTCACGAGTCTTAGGTGTCTGATAATCATCGAGGCTCGTATTTTAGATACTATATCATTTAAACTAATCCCTATATGGTTGTCACAGGATGATTTTGACCCCTTCTTATATAATGGGACGACCAGTGATTGTGACCAGTCAGATGAGATAACGTCCAATTTTCAGATTTTAGCTAAAATATTAGTGAAGCTAATCGCTAAAACTGGACCACCATCCTTAAAGACTTTTGGAGTTAATCCATCTGGACCAGCTACTCTTCCTCGTTTCAGTTTGGTTATAGCTTTTTGAAATTTAATTAAATTCAGAGTGTCTATTTCAATGTTCCATTCAGACTGAAAATGGTGGATAGTTGTAGGGTATCTGAAGACCAGCTGAACTGCTTCTTAAAGTGTTCCTCCCATCGTTTTAACCGTCTGAATTGAGAGTAGATAAGTGTGATCCTTTTTTCGAGATTGTCTCATTTACACTTAACTTTTTATTACGGTTTGTCTTATTAGTCTGAAAAGCTGTCCAGTGTTACGTGCAGTCACTGTCTTTTCCATCTTTTTTGCTTTCGTTGCCCACCACTGCTCACTATTGTTCTGTAACTTTTGGTTTAGGTAGATGTGATTTGTTTTCGCTCTTCATCGTGCTTGGAGCATGATGGGTGATGAGTTTACGTGAATGTATGCGTTCAATGGACTTAGTAGAAATGCACTGATTTTTCGTAACCCTTTGATTCAAATCACTAGTAGATGTGGGTGCTGTTTCTACAACTGTTTGTATATCATTTCAAGCAACATCTGGGTCAGCCTGGTTTTCAGAATTGCTTGGGTGCGACCTCAGTTGTTCATGCAATTTACCTTTGGCTTTCTCATCGCTGGGTTTCACTCTAATGGGTCTTAATGTGGTTTTTCTGCGTTCAGTGAGGTGAAAGCAAATGCGTGTTCGTGTTAGAGCATGATCAGAGTTCAAATATGTGTTACAGAACGAGCAACAGTCTTCTACCGAGCCTTTCCAACGATGACTGATGGGGATATGGTGTATTTGAGTCCATCGTTGGTTTGGTACAGGGGTCGCCATTTTAGATGATGTCTCTCCTTAGGCTTAAAATTAGTGTTTGCTAAAAATAAATGATTTTCTGAGCACAGTTTCAGCAGACGATCACCATTATCTGTTCTCTGTGCCGGAATACTAAAACACCCACTTAAATGTCTCTTTGGTTTAAGCTACCTACTTGGTCGTTAAATTCACCTATGAGTACCATGAGTGTTCAGCTTTTTGAAGCAGTTCAGTAAGCTTACTGAAACATTTATTTTTTACTTCATCAGGGCTGCAGTCCGTGCGAGCGTAGGCAGAAACGACGTAAAAGCAACGATATGCGTCACTATCCTTCCGAGTTTTTAAGAAACCGTTTAGCCGAACAGCATATAGGCGACTGTTAACGGTAATCCACTCTAGTAGTGCTTGTTCTGCCCTCATACTTATTGCTATGCCTGCACTCACTAGTTCACAAGAACTAGTCATCGGGTCGATAAATAAATGGAGGATGTATCTCGTTGTCTCCCTCGTTTTGGCGAGGTGAGTTCGAGTGAATGATCACACTAGGATCCTGTATGCGTGTTTCGTAGACGCAGCATACATCAATGTTACGGGATGTTAGAGTTTTGGCCAAGAAGGCCTGCTGACCGATTTGACATAGGGTATGTGCGTTAAGTGCTCCAATGTGTAGTTTAGTGCGGCGTTTCAACACACCTAGGAAAGTATTTCGCGCACTAAAATCGTTGCCCATGGTTGCCCTTGAAGAGGAAGTTTAGAGTTAAAAGTCGAGGTAGGAGGAATAATAGGAATTAAAGAGGGAGATTGATTATGAATACAGTGGTTTTGAGTACTGTTAGAGGTACTGGAACGGTTATTACTTACTGGTTGCCCACACCGTGGAAGGGTTCTTCTAGAGGTAACTGAAAAGGAAATCGGGTTAGAGTTAGTCACACCTCTGTACAATCAGAAGTATGATTTCGCCCTCTGGTCTTGGGTTTGCTGCTTTCAGTCTTACCACTTTTCAGCCGACCTGTCTGGCATGGTAGGACCTTGAAGAACAATTGTTCCAGCCAGTATAGCTCGATTGCTTCATCACGATAGACAAGCCTGACCTTCACGGTAGGGACTGCGCATAATGTGTGGAGAGTGGTTCTTCATCTATATCTCGTTTATATTTTAGTATAATAAGTTCTAAATTCTCTGTTATTAAATACAATAGTTTCCATATAGAGTACTTGACTGCTCGTTTATGATCGATTTTCATTCATTTTCAGAAAGTAATTGGTGACTTAAAAACCAGTACTTTAGATATGGTGCTTAGGAGACTATCTACAAACTACATTATGTGTCCCGACCGCCAGTCAGTGTGCCAGGATAACACTACATGTTGCCCAATGTCAGGTGAGATATGGGGTTGTTGCCAACATGCCAACGTAAGTTCCTTTTTGGAAATACCTCGTGTTATTACATTATTGCTTTATCGGTTCACTCATACATAGTATTTTAGAAATCCCCGTAAACGAATCTCTGGTAATCATCTTTTTTTTGAACAACCATTAAATCTGGTTTAAATTGGAATACTAGTTGTCGTCCCTCCATCATGTAAAAACTTGTGTGACAAGCCAACAGCTACTTGAAATTTGGCGAGTCCCACTAACTTTTTCTTTGTTTTATGACTACTTAAGCCTATCCATTAGCAACTTCTTTAAGGGTTCAGTCAGTTTTTTTATCTTCATAGCCTATAATAAATGCCATAATAGCCATGGGACTGGCGTTTACTAACCTTTATTTATTTATTTATTTCAACACATAAACATTGGTACAAGGAGGCAACAAATATATATGCGCCACACAAACCATTTGATTCCCATGGGGGCTGAAATACTGCCCGTGTGTCCAAACCGAAGCAAGTGTTTTCTTTAGGGGGCCACTCCCCGAGCTAATGACCTAGAGGTATAATCCACAAGACAGTGGATCAAAGTTAGATGCAGTTCATGGTAGCTGGTGACCAACAATAAGTTCATAAGTCTCTTGTTCCCTCAGGATCCTGGTGCCCATGTGCACCACTAGTTTGGAATGAGGGTTTCCGAACTCCCCTAAGTGAATCCTCTATAACCACCAACCCTGTTAAAAATCCTAACATTCGCTTTTCGTCCTTTCAATTTCGTAAACAATATCCTCCTTGAGAGTAGGCAGTGTTTAGGACTTCCCTGACGGGCTGTATGCGCATGGCCATGTGAGAGCATTTAGAGAAGGAGAGTGAACTCTCCCCCCCCTCGACCGTCCCTGGGCATTTGGGAGCTGTTCGCTGATCAGTCCTCTACCCATCACTTCATAAAGTCATAGACAGTTGGACTTGGCCATGTTAATAGGTGTAGACTACCTGGTTGAGATCCGCGTGATTATCATTACCAATAGTTAGGGACTTTGAATCACATGGCTCAAAATCGTTTGCAATGGTGCAGATGCATCCATTATTTGTCATCCCCGAAATTCTGAATTCCTCATAACCATTACTTTTGTTTTTATTTCATTAATTTATATTTTCTTTCCAAATCGTGTTTGATATCTAATCTTTCCTATTACCACTGATACTGTTACTACCTCTGATACTCTAAGATTTCGCCTTACAATTCCATCTCTCTCTCTCTCTCTGTTATTTGGGTATGGGGACTTGAACCGATGTACACACGTACCAGGTTCTGCATTGTGACTGACTGTCTGACCGATAAATCCATAATTATTACTGTTACGAGAAACAAATATTGAGTTTGGAAATAATCCTTGTTATAAGTCAGAGATGGTGAATTTCACGTCGATTGAGTCTTGAATACTACAGAATATTGATAATGTTAAAAAGTCACATATGGATTTTTTTAACTCCACATTCCATAACTTATTATTAGTATAAGACTCTGAAGCAATAAGTTATAATTAATACTTCCGTTATCTAATCTAGATATAGTATATAGGAACGGAACAAAAGCAACATATTTACTTTTATTGAAAACATATGCTCACTACTGACTGGCTTCAAGATGTATATCCTGGAGTTCTAGTGAAAAGCAGTGACCAGTTGAGTTCAACCGGGTCAGTTGTGAGATGGTAACTCACTGATGACAATGTTGGATGTGTCGCTCAATTTCGTGGATTAGTTGAAGTTAGATATTAACACCTTTGGATGCCGGCTCAGTGGTCTGGTGGTTAAGTGGCTCTGGGTTTGAATCCCGGGAGGCGGGGTCGTGGATGTTCACTGCTGAGGAGTCCCACAATAGGACGAAACGGCCTTCCAGTGCTTCCAGGTTTTCCATGGTGGACTCATGATCTCAACAATTGAAATTACTAAAATCTCCACAAAACCCCCTTCTGAAAATAATTTTCATTATGAACTAATATCAGTTAAGAAAACCGTTGAATTTTTCACTCAGTAAAATAATCACAATAAAATCCTACATTACAGTTGTATTTAATTCCATTTTCTATGTTTTTATTATGGTCAAGATCCACTGGATTGAGTCACGTTGCTCGGTTGATGGGCTTAACTTTTATATTTGATCACTTAATTGATGACTATCGATAGAGTAAATTATTATATCCAGTGATTGTAGTTAGATTTGACTGGTTAAGTCAAGTCAGTCAGTTGTATACTTTGTGGAACGCCTGACACTTGTTCATCGGTCCAAGTTGCCACACCACACACAGCGAGGTGGAATTATCAATAAAGATTCGATTGCTTATAACTTCATAGACTGGTGCCACGTCTTGGTATAGTCATCCTTAACTTTCTTTCAGTCTACTCTTACACCTGACATCACCTGTCATGGTAGGTGGTGTTTGAGCATACGTAACACACGTCCTAACCATCTCAGTTTACTACATCATCAACCGGTTATATCTACCTATATGATTATAGTTTTCAATATCCTTGATATGAAGCTTGTCGACATTTCTACCCTCTTTACATGAAAATACTAGACGTTTTTGTATTGTGTTTTAGTAAGTTTACTATCTTCATTGCAAATGTTTATTAAAGTTGTATATCAGGGGGTCATATTTCACTAGTTATTAAGTGTATAAATGAAATAGGATCAGATAAACATGGTTTTCGAACAACAGTATCATGGGTAAATCCTAATTTTAGTCGTATCCACAGATAATTCAAGCAGTTAACTACAAATACAGTATGTGAATCAATTTTCCGAAGAAAGACGGATTTCATTTTATGACGTATTCACAGAGAAGAAAACGAGATTACAAACCCAAGGCGAGGAGAATTGAACGCCAGTTTATGTAAGAAGCTTCCGGCAATGGGAAGTTTTTCGTCCAAACTTCATTCTATTCATACCACTAATAGCCTTCAAATAAAAAAATACCCCAGTTAAGTACATAGGACTGTACTTGGTAAATGAGTTCTACTGTTTATGTCCCTAAATAAGTCACCCAAACTCTGTGATGAGTTTTTTGTTTTATTCATAGGCTATTTGCTGTCCAGATGGAGAACATTGTTGCCCTCATGGTTCAGTCTGCGATATGGTGCATCGCTCATGTAAACCAGCTAAGTCCGATGAAATCCCAGAGATAAAAGAATCTTCCCACACCTTACACCTCGTATCAGCATCAGCTCCTGCACGTCTCAACCCAAATGTCAACCCATCTAAAGCAGGCTGGGGAAAAAAGATTCATAAACTGTCAGCCAAGTATTTACTAGCTTATTCTGGTATTGTATGTCCAGATCCATTATATGAATGCCCAGCTAATACAACTTGTTGTCCTAGTCCAGATGAAACATGGGCATGTTGCCCTATTCCCCAAGTAAGTTTTTTGATATTATCTATGAATTTATAATTCAGAACTGTGTTAAAATGTCCACAAATCAATATAAACCTCCTGATTTCTTGTGTTCATTTTTAATCTGAGTTATATTGTTATTTATATTATAAAAGAATTATCCTACATTTCACAGTAACATTCCTCGCTTGATTAAGATCGCTCATTATCATATTGCTAATTAAAATGTAAAGGGTTTTTTTTTCAGGTTACTTAATATTTACTAATTTCTACGTAGAATTAGAAATTCAGATTTGGAACTTTGAATATATATTTATAAAGCTGGAATGTATGTAGCAAATATAATTCATTAGAGTGTTGAGTAAATTAGCCTAGTGACATAATTCCATACTTCATTAGTAACATTTTTAATCAATTTTATTGGGTTAGATTGGATGATGTTGGCTATCCAGTAGTGAACTACTAAAGATTTTTGTTTCATATATTAACAAACAATCATAATGCAATATCTAACACAAAAATACACTAGTTCAAGTGACTGCGTCGCCCCCGACCGTTGCATCCACCTTGATGTGGTGATCAGGCTTGCCTATCATGATGAAGCAATCGAACTTTACTGGATGGAACAATTGTGCCAGACAGGTCGGCTGAAGAGTGGTAAGATTAAAAGCAGCAGGCCTAAGACCAGAGGGCAAAATCATACTAGCGACTGTACAGAGGTGTGACGGCAGTAAGGTGCTTCCCTCAGACAACCAGCATAACAACGATGCCGCCTGACTAAAAGGGAGGGTGAAGTTAGAAAAGGTCGACCGTAAACATACACACTTCACCATATCCCAAGGATATCGTTCACCAGTGGTAAGGTCACAACAAGTCAGGAGCTAACACAAAGATTACTCACAGAAAGTTCGTGTGTCCGGCTTCAAGTAGTTGTCCCTTGGGCATTGTGGTCACGCTCTCAGTTGACCAAACCAACTCTAACCGAATTTCCTTTTCAGTTACCTCTAGAAGGGCCCTCCCACGGTGTGGGCAACCGGGAAGTGAAAACCGCTCTCATACCTCTAACAGCACTCATGACTGCAGCGCCTCAACAAGAAATCCTCAAAACCGAACGTAAATAATATGAAAATAACCACCTAATATACACTTGTTTGTATCACATTGTGGATATTTTAAACATAGCAGTAAAACTCCCACTCTTAAGAGTGGATAACTTCATTAGACATATCGTTGAACCAAATATGGTGGTTGACAATTTTCAGTTGTACGGGGAAGTTGGTTTACATTGTGTTATACGAAATACGATTAGGACATATCATCCAATCACCTGTTCTCGATTAACTACTAGCATTGTGTTACTCCTAACACTACTATTTACCATACTTTGTCATTGTCTGTTTGAATTTGGACGATAGATATTTTGCATTTTCAAGACCTTAATATCTTATTTAATCTTATTCATAACCAGCATAATTTCATATGTTGTTGTGTAGAATATCATTTTTAGTACGAATGTAATTTAGTGAACGAAGTTAAAAACTGATTACCAGTTTTGATCGAATGTAAAATAGTTCTTAATCTAAACATAACGTCAATATTAGAAACTATTTACTAAACAATTTTATTTCTGTATTCCTTGTTCACTATTTCTTTCATCTATCTCTTATACCTACATTTAGTTAGGTTATCGTGATATTCTTTTCTTCATATTATGTAGACTGTCTCCTTTCCTGGTGTTTATAACAAAGCTTTGAATAAGTCCCTTGAACAGATGTACAGTAATAAAAATAGTTCACATTCTGTCGCAAATTTTAATTTGATTTATATGAGCTTATCAACATTGAATGACACACAATTATGTCCAGATGCAAAATCTCGCTGTAGCAGTGAACAAACATGTTGCAAACTAAAAACTGGAGAGTGGGGTTGCTGCCCTGTGATAAATGTGAGTAACTTACTGGAATGTTTAGAATTAGTGGGGTTCTACTGACCATTCAACAGGTTTGACTTGTTATTTTTTTGCCATATTATCTCATAGTGATTAAAACTTAACTACTTACGTTAAACCTATCCGATATTTAAGGCTTGAATCCTTAATACTGTGAAAGTACAACCAGATATGTTTTTGCCATATATATATATATATTTGAACACAAATACTGGTAAAGTGGGCACCAGATACATATGCACCGCACAAATCTCGTTTGGTCAGTGTGAGGGCTATGATACTGCCTGGGTGCCCAAACCGAAACAGGTGGTTTTTTTAGCGGAACACACCCGGAGCCTTCGTATGGAGATGCAGTCCGATGGTAGCCGGTGACCAACGACTGTTTCATACGCCATTTGTTCTCTCAGGGTACTGGAGCCCATGTGCACCATCGGTTTGGAATGAGGGTTTCCCAACTCTTCTAGGTGGACTCTCCATATTCTCCGGCCCGGTTAAAGCCTCTGTCGGATATTCGTTTTCCGCCCTATCAATTTCGTAAACAACACCCGTGGTGCGAGAAGGCAGTGAGTAGGACTTCCCTGGTAGTGGCTGTATACGCGTGGTCATTTGAGAGTATTTGGAGAGGGAAAGCGGACTCTCCCCACTTTCGGCCGTACCAGGGCATATATTCAGTTTTTTGTTTCTTGTGGACCTTTGTTTTTCTCTGACATTAGAAAGAGTCATCCTAGAAATATCTCAAATGATAAGTTATAGAGATTTGTTGTTAGTTATATGAATCATAGAAAATCATAAGTTTGTACATCATTCAATTCATGTCTCATTATTGTTTTACATTTTATTCGGTTCATTCTTTTCACCAAAATCAGTTACCATGAATTTTGATACAATTCACTCCAGTCAATTGTTTCATTTCTTCATTAGTTTTAATTGATGTATTTGATAAATAAAATTCATGTATAGATTTAAATCTTTTGTAAATTATTATCTGTTAAAGTTATGTGCTATTGTTGGGAATGCTAGATACCCAGAACTCACTTGATAAACGTTTATTTTTGTAAATTTGAATTTCTTGCTTTCCCGCCAAAAGTTTTCATTTTTACCTTCATATCATTATTCCCACTTGTCAGGACCTTAAATATGACGTTTTCCAAAGACATTTATATGCTTAAGTTGTGCCTGTTGTTGTTTGTACTTCTAACTGTTTGTGAAATACATTTCCCTCCTGCGAAACTTAACTTCTCTCGTTAGTTAGCGAGGCTGGAACACATCAGAATAGTTAGTTAATTTGATCATTGCGTCATTGAGTCTCCGTTCCATTCTCAGATTTGGGTGATCTATTAATGTCTGCAAATATAACAGTTACATTCTTACAGAATTTAATCTATGAAAATGATAAATATAGTTCGTTACATATATATGATTTATATCAAAGGTCAATTCATATAAAGTGTTACTTAGTATCTAAACTATTTGTAATGAATGAATTAGAACATGGTGTGATGAATATTTTTTTTCTCTGTTGGTGATTAGCTACTTTGTTTTGAAACATTTTACTTATTTCAGCATAAGATTAAGTTTTGTCTTAATAGGTGGCAAGTTTTGAGAGAGAGAGAGAGAAATCATATTTCAGTGTGTAGTATTGCGTGATTTTATTTCAAAATAACAGATATTTTCTTGTTGTTGTTCTTGGTAATTCACTATTTATATTTATTTTATTTGAAAACATAAATATTGGTACAAGGGGGCACCATATATATATGCGCCACACAAAACCATGAGAATTTGAAGAGAAGAAAAAAGATAAGGAGCGTAAAAGAAAAAGAACAGTAACGAACAGACTAGTGTAAGGTAGTGTAATAATAATGGGAGCAACGGAAAGACACAACCAAAAGAAATTTTTCAGTTAAGGAAGATACAACCACTTTTTATGAAGAAAGTAAAGGAAGGTTACAGCAGGATCCCCACTGGCTTCTATTCTGAGCCATATCTGATAACGTGTCTAACCACTGTGTCGCACCATCTCTCGGACCCCAACCAGGTATTCGTGAAGGACCAACACAAGCCAGCCCTTTGCAGCTTTCTTTCATACCACGACACCATGTCATACACTGACCATCTCTCCGCCTTTTCCAACCAGTTCCAGAGTCGGCAAATAATGCACGACGTGAAATTTTCTAGGACGTCATTCGTACAATATGTCCCAGCTCTTATGCGGCTACCTAGATACACGAATTTCTCGACTACTTCTATCTGCTCACCATCCAGAGTGAGTACAGGATTAGAATCCTGACAGTCTTGTAGAAGTACTTTGCACTTCGAAGGTGTAAAGCACATTGATTGCCAACTGATTAAGTGCAGATTGCATGACTCGGGGATTATCGCACAGTAAGACAATACCATCCGCATACTGAAGGTCGAGAAGTCTTTCTCCAGGCAACAGATTCGCACCACCATTACTTACATCCATCAAAGCTGTTTCCAGAATGTCATCGATAGCAGGGTTGAAGAGGAATGGTGAGATTGAGCAACCCCGTCTAACCCCACTGCTTGAATCGAACAATGGAGAGAGGTGGTTGTATGCCCTCACTCTGCCTGAGCTGTTTGTATATAAGGCTCTTAAGATGTTAATAAACTTCTCAGACACACCTTTCTTCAATAGACACTTCCAGAGAACAGTCCTATCCAACGAATCGAAGGCAGCCCTGATGTCAAGACACACTTCGATTTTTTGCCTTTGATAAGTATGACGGTGTTCTAACATTTGGCGTAGGGTGAAGATATGATCAATACATCCTTGACCAGAACGAAAACCAGCCTTCTTCTCGCGAGTCAACCTTTCTCGGGTTTTGAACAACGTACGAAGTATGACGGAAGCCAATAGCTTGGACGCAATCGGAAGTAGACTTATCCCCCGATAGTTGTTACAGGAACGACGTGAACCCTTTTTAAAGATAGGGACAACTATCGACTTATTCCATGACGTTGGTACACTCTCTAGTTCCCAAACCTTTGTAAACAACATCGTCAATTCCTTAGTCAAAAAGTCACCACCATCTTTAAAAAGAGCCGAAGGTTAGTCATCTGGGCCAGGTGATTTGTAACGCTTCAAGAGTTAGAGTTCCTTGCGGACTTCCTCCTCATTTGGTGGATCAGTCGTCACCGGCCATGGAGGGCAGGACAGTCTGACCGATGTTGCCGGAGCAGCAGGCCAGTTGAACTGCCTTTCGAAAAATTCTGCCCATCGTTCAAGACGTCGATGGATGTTAGTGATTGGCATCCCATCATCCTCGCAGATTGTTTCGCTCGCACCAGACTTCTTGCTGCCAGTGGCTCGGATGAGTTGGAAGAGCTTCCGGTAGTTACCAGCTACTCCTTGCAGCTCATTAGCACGCCCCGACCACCAGGCTTCTCGGTCTTTACGCAAGCTTTGCTCAATTTCATTACGTAATATCCTTCGTTTATGGTCAAACTCGCGGTCACCTGGAGTAGACCGACGGGCATCAATGAGTTGTAAGGAGCCTGAAGAAACTCAGTACTTATAAGCGGGACGTTTCGCGAAGCCGCAAGCAGCTTTACTCACCATTTTGATGGCGTCGTGAAGTTGCAACCAATGTTCATCTATACTTTTCAGTAGTATGGTAGCTAGCTCGGTTCGATACTTACTAGCAACAGAAGCAGCAACCAACTTGCTGACATCGATCCGTTGGTGGCGGTCACTTCGTTGTCCACTAAAAAGTAAGGTAAGATTAGCGCAAACAAGGGCATAATCAGAGTCCAGATAGGTACTCCAAAAGGAGCAGCAGTCTTGTACACAACCACGTCAGCGGTAGCTGACCGCGATGTGATCAATCTGAGTCCAGGCTTGGGATGCAGAGGGAGGACGCCAGGTGGCACATCGGCGGTGACTGTGCCGAAAGTTAGTGCTAGCCAGAAACAGGTTGTGGTCTGTGCAGAGTTGCAGTAGACGGTCCCCGTTATCTGTCCTGCGACCAACAAGTCCCCATCGGCCACCTAAACGACTCTCTTCTGTGCCTAGACGCCCGACCTGAGCATTCAAGTCTCCGGCTAGTACTACAATATCTGTCGAACGCACTTTCTGGAGAAGAACAGTTAACTGGTGGTAAAACTCATCCTTGATTGCATCCGGGCTGCAATCTGTCAGGGCATAGGCGGAGATGACAAAAAGACATCGTTTCTCACTCCGATTTCTTCTCACTTTGATGGAACTTTCTAATCTAACAGCACATAACCGACTGTTAATGGGGATCCAATCGACTAGTGCTGCCTCAGCTCTAGCGCTTAGTGCGACACCAATGCCAGCAAGACCAGACGAAGATGCTTCAATTGACTCATGATTTAAACCAGTGAAATTTCTAAAAATCTCCACAAAACCCATTCTGATAATAATAGTCTATCAGTTTAAGAATCCCCATAGAATATTCAAAACTGAAGAATATTTGAGCGAACGATTGTTTTCAATAACTTCATCATCAGGCTCTACGGTTATAAGTTCATAATTATGATATTTTTTACAAAGTCCAAAAAATAAGGCAAGTGTTAATGAATTTGACAATGTTACGTGTTAAAATTGGTAAACGTTTGCATCTGTTACGATAAATATCTATATACTTCAAAATTGTATTATTTGACAAATTAGAAAGGTCATTCAATCAAGGTCAGGACGATTTGGAGTAAAGTGTTCAGTCACCATAAGTAGAATAGTATTATAGCAAAAATGAAAATGCTGAAAATTGTGTGAATAAAATGCATAGTAGGAGAATTTAATCTTGTCAATTGAGATAATAATAATAAGATTGTTTTGGGAATATAATATGGGATAAGGAGGGTGTTATCAAGGTAATTACGATAAACGAATCGGGAATGATCGATGTGAAGATTAAGATAGAGATAATAAAAAATAATGGTAATAAGGAAAAAATAAATAAATAAATAAAAATAAAGGAACGGGGTAAGAGGTTTATAATATTCAGTCTAGGTATTCGGTGGTCCAGTCGTAGGCCAAGGTAAACCTAGAGGCTGGATATATTTTTTCTGGATACATAAATTTGGTCTTCTGTAGTTGATCCAGATGGCTTCGGCTATGTAAAGCAGTCGTAATCTAGCCCCGTGAGGTAGATATTTTGGAACTTGATCTAAAACAGAGAAAGCTTCCTCTATTTTGATATGATGTTCACTATCTACCAAGTGAGAAAGAATGGTACTGTTAATCGATTTGGTAACTGGTTTTCTCAACCATGCTGGTACAGGTTCACGAACACGCAAGGATAAAGCCCTCTGAGCACGTCCTATGTAACTAGCTCCATAGGAGCAGTTGAATTGGTATACATACATGGAAGAGCCCATCTTCGGTAACCTATCCTTGATTAGTTGTGTGAGTACTGGTCTAGTCGAGAAAAATATGTGTAACTTGGCGGCATGAAACGTCCTTTTGACAGATCTTTTGAGTCGACGTGTTAGAATATCACCCGCTATGTCCCCTTTAAAGTTAAGTCTCAGGTATAAGGTCTTTTTACTGACTGTGTCGCAATGTCTTCATTTTTTAGTACTTTGTACGAGGTATTTTTTTGATGAAATTATCGGGATAGCCATTATTTCGTAATGTGTTCTTTAGTATATCTATTTCGTCATCTACACTGTCTTCAGAACATAATAACTTTATTCTGTGGTTGAGACATTTAACCAAATTTATTTTATATTGAAGAGGTGTGAAGCTTTGGAAATGGGTATATTGACCCGGCTGTCTTTCTAGAAAGTAGGACATCTAAAAAAGCTATACTATTGTCTCTCTCCTCTTCGCTGGTGTATTTAATGGTTGGGTGGACATTATTGAAACAGTCCAACATCTGTTTGTCGATATTTTTGTCACATATGATTAGTGTGTCATCTATGTATCGACAGTAATAACCAAGCTTACTTAGGATTTCTTTAAGCGGTCCATTTTCTAGTTTGGTCAGAAAAATATTAGCAAGGATCGGGCCTAGAGATGATACCATTGCTATCCCATCTACTTGTCTTGAAAATTCATTGTTAAACTTAAAGTAGATATTCATATTGCATTTCAACAGAAGTTCTCTCATTTTACTTACTGGGATCGGTATCTCTATTTTCTTTTCTAGCAGTTGTTCACATATATAATCGATAATTTCAGTCAGAGGGATGTTAGTGAGCAAAGATGTTATGTCTAGTGATAACATGGTTTTGCCATTTATATTCATATTTTTTATTGCATCCACTAATTCAGAGACGTCTTTAACACTGCTTAACCAGTTCTTGGTGCAGTGGTTCTAATAATTTAACTATCCATTTTGCTGTTAAATGGTATTGTGAGTTTGCCATATCCAGTATCGGGCGTAAAGGAACATCAGGTTTATGAATCTTAGGTAGACCATATAGTCGAGGGGTATGTGTTCGTGAAGGCTTGAGCGCATTATAGGTATGCTCAGTGATGTATTGATGTTGGTTTCAAAAATGTTAATGCTGCAGTTAGTTGACGTTCGGTCTTTTCATTGAGGTCTTTACATGACCCAAGGTTTTGGAATTTGGTTTGATCTATGTAACCTGTCTTGTTTAGAATTACAGTGCAACTATTCTACTTATTGTGACTGAACACTTTACTTCAAATCGTCCTAACCTTTCTAATTTGCAAATAATGCAATTTTGAAGTATATAGATATATATCGTAACAGATGCAAACGTGCACCATTTTTAACATATAACATTGTCAAATTCATTAATACTTGCCTTATTTTTGACCTTTGTAAAAATATCACAATAATGATGGACTTATAACTGTAGAGCCTGATAATAGTGTATCATTTACAAATATAGCCTACTGTGAAATAGGTAGTAGTATCTTACAAATTAAATTGAGTGAATTGTTTACCTTAGACTCCTTAAATAATGCATAGAATTAGTAAATTTAATGTTTATTCATAATAATATAATGTCTAATTGACGTTAATAAGTTGTAAACATTCAATGTGTTTCTTTCTTGATTATATGCAAAATATCGTAAAGGCTCCTATACACAATCACTTCAAACAAAATGAAGATAAAATTACAAAAAAAAACTTTCTGCTTATAGTAGTCACCAATGAATTTTTATCAATATAATCTTTTTATTCTATTCCTTAGGCTGTATGTTGCAGTGATGGAGAACACTGTTGTCCTGAAGGTTATGTATGTGATTTATCTGTTGGAGAGTGTATAAATCGTTCTAAACCATCAAATGAATTGAAAAAGTTTTTACCAAACATTAATTTATCATCATTACCAACAAAAATTGGTTATAATAATCGTTGTCCTAACAGTGATGTTTATTGTGAAGATAATTCAACTTGTTGTGAACATGATAAGGAATGGGGTTGTTGCTTGTTCTCAAATGTAATTTTATTATATTACATTGTATAAATATTCTTTTGATTAAATCTCAAGATTTTAAATTCAATCCTTTAAGTTAACTCATAGATAATTATTACTTGAAACTTTCAATATTATGCGATAGTTTCAGTTGTCTTCAATTTAGATTCGATACAAATTTTTATATGAAAAACTGATTGTTCGCATGCCGTTGAATACACTTAAAGGTAATTCCTGGACTTCTAGTGAGAAATCTTGATTATAGAAGTTGAGTTGTGTTGGGCTTTAGACAGTTGTTCCCAGTGTTCGTACAATATCGCGAAATATCTGAAGTTTGACTTGTAAACTTTTGAATCCTCCCTCAGTGGTTCAAATTTTTAGTGCTTGTCGTTGAAATTATTAGTCCTAAGTTCGATTCCTAGTGGGATCGTGGATGCCCACTACCACTGAGTATTTCAACACTAAGACGAAACAGTTGTATAGTGCTTTTAAGATTTCAGTGATTGCCTAAGATTAATCGACGATACTACTCAAACAGGTTAGATTATAAACAATAAATAACGCAGAATTGGATGTTAATATGTACGAAGTTGAATGGTGTAATTTGCATGCAATTAACTTACATCATTTGAAATCATCCCAACTGCAAATAGCCGCTTCAACTAAGAATTGGAAATCAGTTCAACCAATAAACATTGAATTATATCAATGGTTTCCTGTTTAACTTGCAAATAGTTATTCGATCAGTTTTAAAAATGTATTTTTAACGTAGGTTTAAATCTATGATAAATAGAACAGTTATACTGGAATATGTATATCCGGCTATCATATTTCGCAGATGTAATAAACGGACATTAAATAGCCGTACTCTTATAATGTTCATAATGCTAATTAATGTCTTTGATGAAAAAAAAACAAGCAAAGAGCATTAAACTGTAGATGATACAGAAGAATAGGGTGTATATCATGATTTATGTGTTGAGAATGCTAATTTAAATCTCTTTTATAATTTAGGTACGTTTAAAATTTTTCTCTATCTTACTAGACTTAGGATTTGTAATTAACAATATCGGCCAGACTATAATTTATGGACGAACCAATCAGGTACGAGATAACAGGTCTTGGATTTTGATGCGAAATTCATCCATTTGGCATCATAGCTGATGTCAATTTGTGATGAAGACCCTAAATCTAATACGTAACCTTGAATATCAACTGTAAACAATGGTTCTAATTCCTCAAACTGATTTATAACCTTCATTTGGTTCTAATTAATAGGTGGTCACTCTAGTGTCGCTGAAAGGTTGTCGATAAATTATAGTCTCACCACAATATCATCTATGCGTTTCACTACGTTTACTCAAGATGTAATAATGTAATTCAATAATCACCAATTGGAGCTATTTGTTCTCAACTCGAAGTTATATATATATCGTTTCTACATTTGATACTTGTATTTTTATTTTTTAAAGGCAGTCTGTTGTTCCGATGGTGTTCATTGTTGTCCAGCAAATACAATTTGTGATTTAAAAGCAGAAATGTGTATTGGTGAATCAGGTGATATTCTCACTAAACTACAATTGAAATCTAAACCTAAATTTAATTCATTCAAATATAATTCACGTATTAGTATTTGCTCTGATATGAAATCAGTTTGTATTAATGGTACATGTTGTTCCAATGTAAATGATCAATTATCAACACTTTGTTGTCCTTATGAAAATGTATGTTTTAAAAGTCTATTTATTGTTATGTGTTATATTTTAACATTCTATTTGAATTTTTTTCCGAGATGGACTGTTTATAACTGGATGTACCTGCACCTCAGAGTTGATGTTCACTCTGGGACTCGAACCCCGTACTGTTCGCTTCAAACTCCATCGCGTTATTCACTTAGCTACTGAGTCCTGATAGCCACTTGCTTGTGCAATGGGGTGAAGTTTGAATTCACTTGATGCTGTTTATTTTGAATCTTCCCATTGATGTTCAGGACTGCAATTAATCAATCTCAGTGATGTCTTATATATTTGTTGTTGGATAAACGGTACTATAAGTTTTAGAATTAATGAATAGTGAGTAATAGTAGGATTCAGTAATCGCGTTTCGTCTTATTTTGAACTTATCATCTGAATATATCTGCATCCTATCATCGATGTTTAGAGTGTCATGTAATTTATAACACTATTCGTTCTTGGTTAAAATATAAAGTGTCTTTTATGTATTTATTTATTTAAACACATAAACATTGGTACAAGGGAGCGCCAAATATACACGCGTCATACTTCGTCATTTGATTTGTTTGAGGGCTGGAATACTACCTGGAAGCCTCCCGGACAGGTAAACGGTTGGTGACTGTCGTACTCCATCATGCTTTGCTGTGTTTTTAGACAATTCGTTAGTAGTCATTCTATTTGTGTTCCATTATTATTGTTAATTAGGTCAATATTCAAGGCGAAGTCGACATCATAAGTTGATAGTTATAGAAAAATTCAAAGATGTACTTTGAAATCGTTTGTTTAATTAAAAAAAAAAACATATTTCAGTAGTATATGTATTCATAATCATGTAAATTTATCATATGATTGATTCATCAGTCAGTCAGTCCAATTACTTGACTAATATGATACAATTGACCACAGATCCCTCAGAAATATTGCTGGCGTCTGCTGGGATCACCGGGTAAGTAACAGTGAGGTTAGACGCAGGGTATTAGGGAATGATGGTAAATCAGTCGATGAGGTTGTGAATCTTCATCGACTGAGATGGTTGGGGCCACGTGTTACGTATGCCCGAACACCGATTACCACGACGTGCAATGCTAACCGGTGTTCGGGATGGTTGGAAGAAAGTTAGGGGCGGCCAAACCAAAACGTGGCATCAGTGTTTGAAGTCACTAACTTGTAGTCTGAGCCATGTTGTTGGTAGATGCAGACTACTTGATTGGGGTCCGCGTGACTATCGTAACTAATGGTTGAAGACTCTTGGTGACATGGCTCAGAATCGATCACAATGGCGTCAGTGTATACACTCTCTATCTTCCCTTAAACTAAGAGATTAAAATCACTTCATATCTTTCTTTCTGCCAACTAATTCTTTCTTCCTGTACTATATACTTATATGCAATCTTTCTTTTATATATTACCACTTCTGAATTAACTACTTTTATGAATCCGGTGTCCATCTTGTTGTGTTAATGAGGTATGGCAACTTGGACTGATGCATATATGTGCCTGGTCCTACGTTGTAGCTGACTGACTAACTGATGATACAATTTTTATTATAATTTTCAGGCCGTTTGTTGCAACGATGGTGAACATTGTTGCCCAAAGGGTACAACATGCGATATGGTCAATGGTGGTTGTATTATTTCACAAGAAGATTTATCAAAATCTAATTCTGTTCCATTGCTTACCAAGATCTCAGCTTTACATGTTACTTCCAAAAATAACACACAGTCTACTGTTTTCACACAAGTTTGTCCTGGTGGTAAAGCGAAATGTCCAGATAGTGCAACATGTTGTAAATTATCTAGTGGGGAATATGCATGTTGTCCAATTCCAAATGTGAGTTTCCATCAAAATAGGAGTTTTATTAATATAAATTAGTAATCATACTTCGATAACAAGGTTGCAGACTTTATTCTTTTTTTACTTAAGTTGAGTTATGATAAGTCAGTCCGCCTACTTGAACATTTGTTTCTAACTTTCCAGCCGCTTCCTATAACCACAGATTACGCATACGCCTAAACTTGAACAATAGGAAAAAGGAGAGAAATATGAGTCAGCTCTTTACTTAAAAATGAGTTATGTCAGTCACTCATACTGTATAACCTGTTACGTGTGTACATCGGTTCAAGTCCCCATACCCAAATAACAGAGAGAGAGAGAGAGATGGAATTATAAGACCAAATCTTAGAATGGTAGAGGTAGTAACGGTAACAATGGTAATAGGAAAGATTAGATATCAAACACGATTTGGAAAGAAAATATAAATTAATGAAATAAAAACAAAAGTAATGGTTATGAGGAATTCAGAATTTCGGGGATGACAAATAATGGATGCATCTGCACCATTGCAAACGATTTTGAGCCATGTGATTCAAAGTCCCTAACTATTGGTAATGATAATCACGCGGATCTCAGCCAGGCAGTCTACACCTATTAACATGGCCAAGTCTAACTATCTATGACTTTATGGACTGACGGCATGTTTTGGTTTTGCCGCCCCTAGCTTTCTTCCGGATTACTCCTACACCACACAACATCGCCCTATGGAGATTATAAAAGTTTGAATCCGTTGATAAATATCGCGTGCCATATCACCAATCACAGTCCTAATTCTAATTTAATCTATTTCGCGTCTACCACTTTCTCGATAGCCCAGTTTCCTCAATTTGTATAAATACATGCTCGATCAGTACCATCAGCTGTAAATCAAACAACCCACCTCCTATTGGTCCGCTATTCCTACACTCCTCTCTATGCCCTGCCCTGAGTTGAGGAGTAGCAACCAACCTCTCCTACGTTCCTATTTCAAACAGATGCGTTTCTTATACAGGCATACCAGACCGTATTACACCATAGAACAAGTCAACGGTGTCTGTGTATGGGAGAGGGTGTAAATAATGGAATGAGAACAAAATAGGTATAGTAAGTCGTACAACAGTACGGAATGAGTCAACTGAAATCCTATGATAAATGGTATATATATAACAATTTTTCAATAACCATGGCTTCTATAAATCTAAGAATGGGCCCTTGATAATTTCTGTACAAAGCCTTAAAGACCATCTCAGGGTTGATCCTTTGACTTGTTTCAATTGTGTTTTACAATCTAGGAGCCTGGTTTTCTACTTTCTGCTATTTTGGCATATGCTCCATCACAGCTGATTAAATGGAGAAGTAATCAAAAATTCTGTAGTAAAGGAGACAAACAATCGTTAATTTCAGCATAACTTTGAATCGTTTTGACATAATCAAGAATTCACTGTTCATGATGAGGATTTTAAACAAGTTTTCTTAGTTGATTGTTTTAATCTTTCATTGTCTTTCTAGATAGAGTCATCTAAAGATGCTTTTTTAAAGGATATTTTAGTGATGTTGTTTAGGACGATTAAAGCTCCATAGACCATTGAACCAACCAGTTCAGGCGAACAGAATACATTCAAAATTTTGAAAACTTGTTCAATATTTTATTGATTACGAACCGATTTAAGTTAGATTACCATTAAAAATGTGGAAGCACTGGACAACTGTTTCGTTTTTGTATGGAACTTCTCAGTGGTGGTGCACATTTATGACACCGATATGGGGGACCGAACCCAATACCCTGTTTAATATTGATAGAAATGATTTGAATATCTGAATGCATCATTAACAATTAAAACGTTTGTCAATAGTTTTTGTTTTATTAATATATTGAGATAAAGCAAGGTTTTGGCTTTTGTAACAACAAAGTTTTCTATGATAAAGGTACTTGTCATCTAGTTTCAATGTTAAAAATGCTACCAATCTCTCCCAATCTTAATTTTTCCCCAACCGTAGTTAAAAACAGTAGTCGGCGTTTAGATTCGTATGAACATTGGTTCGTTGGGTAAAGGAAATATGAAACTTTGTGGCAGGCCTATTAGCTACGGACAACTCAATCATGTTTCAAAGAACATCTTTTGAGTTTTCCGCGTTATCCATTCTGTTTTTATAACTAAATGCCATTCTGGCATTGTAGTTTATTTCAGTTCCGATTTATCTTAATGAAAATAGTTGGTAGAAGTTCCTCAATTTGCTATTGTAGTATTTCTCAATGTTCGTATGTAAACTACAGTCTTGCTAAAAAAATTTAATTTGTCTCCTGATTTTACAGTGTTCTTTTGTTTCCTATCTTATTTAAAATTTCATTTGGTATATTCATCTATAAATAATGAACGACAAAAATGTAGTGCCATTTATGACTTCAATTAATCTCGTATTTCTCCTTTCTATTAAATGGATACTAAATTGCTTAGAATGAACACTGAACGATTTATCCACGTATACAACTCATTCACTCTACACTAGATACTCCGCCAGGATTATTCTATCAGATATCAATAAAAATAAAATAAAAAAACACATAACTGACCTGAATAATACATACTTTTAGAGATAACACTCTCCTCATCTAAATTTCCAGGGGTTGAACTTCTACCGGGAGGTTCACTTGTTGACTTAGAATATGCAGATGACATAGTTTTATTTGGTGAAGACGCTGACAAAATGCAGAGTCTTCTGACCACTCTAAGCTACAATGCAAGCATGTTCGGGATGCGATTCTCCCCCTCGAAATGCAAAATGTTGCTTCAGGATTGGGTTACATCGACACCCGAACTAGTGATAGGGAGTGAAGTAGTTGAGTGTGTCGACCGCTTCACTTATCTTGGAAGTCTCATCAGCCCTTGTGGTTTAGTGTGTGACGAAATCTCAGCACGGATACAGAAGGCTCGACTAGCTTTTGCCAACTTGCGTCATTTATGGCGTAGGCGAGATATCCGTCTATCAACCAAAGGACGTGTTTACTGCGCAGCAGTTCGTCCCGTCCTACTTTATGGCAGTGAAACATGGCCGGTAAGAGTAGAGGATATTCGTAGCTTACTAGTATTTGATCATAGGTGTCTTCGAAACATTGCTCGTATATCGTGGGACCATCGAGTAAGTAATGCAGTTGTTAGGAAACGGGTAATAGGTAAGGATGGTAAATCAATTGATGAAGTAGTGAAACTTCATGAGTTGAGATGGCTGGGACACGTGTTACGTATGCCCAACGACCGACTACCTCGACGTGCTATGTTCAGTGGTATAGGAGTAGATTGGAAGAAAGCTAGGGGTGGCCAAACCAAAACATGGCACAAGTCCATGAAGTCACTGACAAGTGGACTGAGTCATATTGGTAGGTGTAGACTACCTGGCTGGGGACCACGAGATGATAGCAACCGATGGTTAGAGACCCTGAATGACATGACTCAAAATCGTTTGCAATGATGCAGGTGCATCCACTCTTTATGTTCCCCCAAATTCTAATCTTCTGAATTTATCATGTCCCTTTCTTTTTCTCTTTCCAAATTTATTTCACTGTATTATACTCTTCAAATAACATCTCCAAACCCTAATCTTTCCTATTACTGCTTATACTTTTGCTACCTCTACCACTACGGTATTTGAATCGACAATTGCATCTGTGTGCTTATGTGGTGTGGCAACTCGAACTGATGTACGTACGTACGAAGTTCTACGTTGTTACTGACTGACTGACTGCATTAGCCAACAACCGACAATAATTAAACACAAGAGGTCGGGAAATATATATGATATATCATCAAATACCTGTCAGACTATCTACCAGGTTTGTCAAGGTAACCCAATCAGTCTTTTTTTCTCTCTTGTTTACACAACAGAAACACAATTGAAAACTATCATTTAACCTGTTCTCGAGATCTGATTTTCATAAAAAGTACATGATATTTTTCAATGGGTATAATAATTAGGTGATAATTTTGCTTTATATGAGCTACAATTAGTTAGCTTATGTGTGTCAATTAATCAAATTATTCCCAGTTGCCCATTTCATGTAATGATGCTTCTTAAAGAAACCGGAGTTTTATTGATTGTAGTGACCTGGGAACGTGGCTGCAGTACCAGAGGAACAACTTCTCGATCTTTTTTGGAATTGTTGTCGGTAAGTTAGTTCTGTACTTTAAAGGTCCTATTACTAGAGACAAGAGTCTATGGGATAGGAAAAATTGTCACATTCTTAGGACTGGTATTTTTTAACCCCTCCTTTTTGTTACAGCACCGCTGCAAGTGTTTGTTATATGGAAAAAACAGCTTGCTGCCACCACATCCCAGTAACAGTCAGCAGTTTGACTTCACTATTGGACCGTAAGCTGTTACTTTTAGTCTTATGGTTTTGAAATGGTGTAGAAGGTTTGTAGCTCATGTGAATGACTTAGGTGGAGTTTTGTTCTGTGAGCGCGATCATCATCACATCAAGGTTGGGATACTAGATCACAAACTAGTTTTGTCTATTGGAAAACAAGCTGACTTTTCCTTTTTTTTCTTATCTGATTTATGAAATTTGTAAAAACTGTCCACCTTTTCTTCAAATTCTGTATTGTTATGTTCAATTTCATTATAGGCTATTTGTTGTTCAGATGATATTCATTGTTGTCCATCAGGAACTTCATGTGACTACAAAACTCTGTCATGTGTAAAAACGGACAATGGTCATTCAATTGGAAGCCCAACAGCTAATGAATTATTACGTAATCCTGGATTGTTGTTTACTGGAGTACGTGATCATGTTTGCCCTGGTCATCAATCTACATGTGCTGATGATCAAACTTGTTGTCCATTGCCTGATAAATCGTGGGGTTGTTGTCCACTGAAAAATGTACGTGTTATATATATGTATATGTATATATATTTTAAATGGAGTTTAAATATACATAGTTTATATAATTCACTATGAATTTCTTAAAATTTACCCCAGGGTTGTTCATTTTGGCATCAATATAGTACATTAAAGTGATTAAATGCTGTGCCTGGATATCATTTCACTTTTATTCTCAAGCACATTTTAAGTAGTAACGTTCGTATTTATATCTTTCGTTTTTATTTATTTAGATGTCGTAAATTTCACTTGTTTATTTGTTTGACGTCTCTCTACTTATATCCTCTTAGTTTTTTTGTAATATTTCCGTAAAATTACCGTTCTGCAAATGCACTGTCTCTCTCATTATGTGTTATCTTGAGTGCTGTTAAAGGTACTATGGAGGAATTGTCAATTCCATATCACTCAAATTGTGGAAGTATTCTTCTTTAGTTATGTGAAATTGAAATTGTGTTAGGGATAACCTTAACAACCTAGGAGCTTGGCCGCTAAGGCCAGAAGAAAATCAGTTAAGTTCGATCACTCACAACCTTTCTGATATTAGAAGAGAGACGATTGATTAAATGACTAAGAGTCGTTTACAATAAATCATGTATTTATTTATTATCTTCACCTAGATTTCAATTTCGAGTATTCGTGTATGCACACTTTTTTCATTCTGTTGTCTTGAATGGTGTTCTCACTGTTCTATCTTTCTCATTTTCAGTATAGGGTTGTGGAAATTGTTGAGTTTTAATTGAGCTCATGAACCGATAAATGTTAGACCACTATTGAAAACCTGGAGGCACTGTGGACGGCCCTTTCTTCCTAGTATGGTACTGATAATTATCATATGTTCACTGGTGACTAGATTTGAGAAGTAATTGTCGGGGTTCAAGTGCGAAGCCATAACCACAGGAGTTCAGCTGTGTCGGGTGTGGGGGAGTTACCTACCGAAGACAATGAAAGATGGTCACCTAATATTGTGGGTTGACTAAAGTCAGATATTAACACCGTTGGATGCCGGCTCGTTGGTTTAAAGTTTAAGCGTTCGTGCGCACGACTGAAGGTCCCGGGTTCGATTTCTGCTTGTGAGATCGTGAATGGGTACTGTTGAAGAGTCCCGTACTAGGACAAAATGGCCGGTGCTTCTAGGTCTTTTTACTCTCAGTCCTACTAAATCATTTCCACTCCTTTATTATTTATTCCGGCCATTCCACCTCGTTATGGTAATGTGGTGCAGAAGCTTAGATCATCTTATATTTATGCTAGACTGTTGATTATAACTAATTACTGACTCTTCAGTATATATATATATATATATATATATATATATAATAAATGCTCTCACATGTCTACGTGCATACAACCACTGCCAGGGAAGTCTTACTCGCTGCCTTCATGTGGCGGGGGTGTTGTTTACGAAATTGACAGGACGAAAAGCTAATATCCAGCGCTTTAACCGGGTTGGTGGATACCAAGGATCCACCTAAGGGAGTTGGAAAACCCTGATTCCAAATCAATGGTGCACATTGGTTTCAGGATCCTATGGAAAAAATGGCGTATGAGCTTACTGTTAGTCACCGACTACTATGGGACTGCATCTCCTTAGGTTGCTCCACTTCTTTTTGGATTAGACCTTTAGGTTGAATGCCCTAACATAAATCGAATGATTTATGTGGTGCATATCTATTCGATCCCTCTTTGTACCAATGTTTATGTGTTTAAATAAATTATATATATATATATATATATATATATATATATATATATATATATATATATATATATATATATATATATCATGCATAGCTACACATCATCATATCTATCCATTCTCATTTATAATTAAATAATATATTATTTGATAAACAATCAATCCAATTATAACTAATTTTGCATAAACTCTAACTAGTGATTCGCAATTAGTTATTATTCTATAGACAATTAATCGATTACATAATGAAAATTTCATCGGTTTGTCATTAGTATACCAATATGAAATATTTGAAACAATGAAAAAAACGTTTGACACCCTTTATGTTGCATAATTGAGAGGTAGCTACTTACATGGTAACAATTAAAATTGTAATACTGTCTGTCATAAGTTCCGTCTACTTCATTGAATGGTGCAAGAATCGACTAATTATTGATTTAATTTAATGATTTATTCATAGGATAAGAGTATTATTGTTTCGATGATAGAATCTGCTTATTTTCAGATGAACAGAACAAATATTGTTAAGTTGTAAGTATACAATGTATTTATGTGTCATTATTAGTGTGTTAATGTTATGACTTAAGACTCTAATCAATATCATGTTTGATATTACCTAGTCAGCATTCCGATTGTCAATTAGTTCACCTATATGTATTGCCAGTAGGATTAGTGACTTTCAATTGCACTGACTTAATACATACCTACTGATGAACTACAATCAAGGCCCTAACACGTTTATTTGTCCTCAAGCTCATTCTAACCCCAGTGATCAATCAGAAGATGACGATAGGATTCAGATTAGTTCTCTATTGTACTCAATTCAATTATGATTCAAAAGTTATACAAAAATATATTTAAAATAACAACACAGCACACCAAATAATAAATCTTGCTGTAAATAGAATTATGCTGATCGCGGACTAAACAGTCTGTAACTAATTAGCAATAACTAAGGAACAGTCAA